GGGGCTCTTGTTTTCTTGAGCTGTTATAGATTTCTGTATACTTTGGTAATTAGCCCTCTGTCTGATGTGTGGTTGGTAAAATGTTTTTCCCAATCTGCGGGTTATTGTTTCACTCTCCTGATGAAGTCTTTCGATGCGTATAAGTGATGTAATTTCAGCATGTCCCAGTCAACTATCTTTTCCTCTACTGAACGTGCCTCCTCCATTATACTTGGTAGCCTATGTATACCATATGTGTTAGTCTGGGTACATTAGAGAAACAAGTCCACAGAAATTTATGTATGAGAGAGTTTTATATAAAGGTTAATTGTGCATCAAGAAAACATACCAACCCAGTGCTTCCCAAGCCAACAAGTCCAACATTAACCCATTTACCCATATGTCCAACACCAGTCCACAAAGTCCTCCTTCATCTCACAAAACAGACTCAATGATGCTGACTGCAGGAGGAAAGCTGAGTCAGTGAATGTGTAAACATCTCAGTGCTGGCAGGGGTCTCCACACAGCTGCTCCAGCACTCAGGGCTGCACCAGGGTGGGTCTATGTGGCTTCTCCTCAGGGATGTGTTGCAGGAAGTGAGCCTTGCCAGCTAAAGCAGGGAACTGGCTAAGGCAGCTGCACCCGGATCCAACCATCAGAAAGTAAGATACCCGAGAACTAGAAAGGCAAGGCTCACTGAGCCATTTATTCCTCAGCTCTTCAATGAACCCCACATGTATTTATCGGCCAGGTTGGCACAATGAACTAATGACCTCAATCCACCCCTTGCCAACCTGGCACCTGTACATAATTCTTTAGCTTCATGATTGAAATTAAGTAACACCTATACCTTAATCCTATAATCCTGTGAATATGTTCCCCCGCCTATGAAAGTTTGTAAGCCAACCACTTCATGCTTTTATCCCCCCAATTTTGAATATCCAATTTATATACTGCTCGCTTACATCAACCCAGTTATCTGAGAAGACAATCATATTTTGACATGAAGAGTCTTCATTCCAGTTGGAACCTTGTGAAGTCTGTATCCATAAGCAAAGCCAAATCCGGACAGGCCATCCATAAAGTCAGCAACAATATGCACCAGTTCACAGGCTCAAAAATCTCCAGCTGGTTGGGTTCTGGTCAACTCAATGTGGGCTGCCTCACTCAGCCTCCTCAGGGTGTCCGTTGGTTGCCTTGCCTTTTGACCATGGATTCTCACAAATACTAGCCTAGCCCTCTCGTGGTAGGTCATGAACCTTAGATCAGTCAACCTGTGACCGTCTTCTCTTTTCCTGTAAACCAAATCTACATGTGTCAGTGGCCAAACTCAACCTGTTTCTTTCTTGCTGCATTTCTCCCACTTCCACTCAACAAGTAGATCCAGGTGGTCACCTAGCAAGCATTTCAGCCTGCTCTCAGGCTCCCTTTAACATTCAGTCCCAGAGAGGAGTTTTCTTCGTGGTTCCAGATTTTTTCCAGCTTCTGACAAAGACTGCTGGTTCCTGAGGACTCCAAAGCACTGTGTGGGGCATATCTTTTCAAAGCTTTCTTTGCAGGCATAGCCTAAACCCATCTAAAGATCAAATTTTAATGGCTGAAAGCAAGTGGGGTTACAAACTTTCTATTTTCATACTGTCCATATTTTTCCCAGAAAACAACCGAGTGAACAGTGTGGCTTTATCTGACCTCTGGCTAGACAAGAAAAACTACCATGAGGGAGAGGTCAAACAGACATCTACTCTCTATCTTATGATTTGTTTTTCCAGTACCCAACTCCTAAGGTACCATATGTGTTAGTCTGGGTACTTTAGAGAAACAAATCCACAGAAACTCATGTATGAGAGATTTATATAAAGGTTAAGTGTGCATCAAGAAAATATCCCAACCCAGTGCTGCCCAAGCCCACAAGTCCAACTTTAACCCATTAACCAATATGTCCAACACCAATCCACAAAGTCCTCCTCCATCTCACAAAACACACACTATGACAACAACTGCAGGAGGAAAGCCAAATCAGTGAATGTGTG